CCTGAGAAATTATTCCGAATTTAGGGGGGGGGGGGGGTACATTGAGCATTTTTCATGATTTAGGGGGGTCTCCAAGGCAGGAAAAGCCTGAGAAAAGCCTGCGAAAGGGGGGTTCGGAAATGTTGGCAGTCCTCAGATAGGGGGTGCTTTCAAAAAGAGGGAACGAGCATATGCGTACCCTAAATAACACTGAATGGGGGGGGGGGGAGGTGGGGGCGGGCCTGTTGTCTAATAGGCCACTTCGTGAAAACGGAAAAGGCGAGACCTCTCACACAAGAACCGGCCGCGCACCCATTTAGACCGCTTAGTGAAATCGACGTGTATATTGAATGCGCATATTTTCGTTTTCACGAACCGTTCCCACAGTTTGTTAAAATATTCCCACTTAATTATATATTTTTTGTAAACAAATATATATGAGCAGAATCGTTAAATCTGTACCTTGTGGTTGTCAAAGGAAATATTTGAAGATGTACGTTAACCCCCGTTGTAATAAAATGAAATGTTAAAATGCGTTTATCTCGAAATTCACTTTAATTTGTCGCTGCGCGGGCTACGAGGCCACTTCGTGAAAACGGTGACGAGTATGTACAGCTCCAGCAATTAAACAAAACTGCCAAGGGTAATGATAGACTCTGTCTCTAGTCGTTTGCACAGTATATTTGACTGAAGTGGCTAAACAGTTGTGTAAAAAAATAATGCGCAGCCGGGCCTCCTAGTTTAATGATCACGCACGCCATCATCGGCTGATAGCGAGTAAGTAAGGAGAGGTAGCGTTGGTGTGGTGGAGATCAAAATTAAATAGGCCAGATTCTGGACTAGGCCGAGCTCTGCACGCGGTTAGGCTGTATATATGATTATTTGTCACCATTTCTCCCCCCCCCCTCCTTTTCCTCATCTATTTCCTTCTTTATCCCCTTTCTCCCTCTACCCCATTCTATCTTTCATCTATAATCACCCATCTCCCCCTCTCCTCTCTCTCTCTCTCTCTATCTATCCCTCTATCTTTCTTTCTTTATCCCTCTCTCCCTCTCTCTCTCTTTCCCTTTCCCCTCTTTTCATTTATATATTTTGTTTCTCTCTATATATATCTCTCTCTCTCTTTCTCTCTCTCTCTCTCTCTCTGACTCTCTCTCTATCTTTTGCTTCATCCCCCCTCTCTCTCTCTCTCTCTCACACACACACACACACACACTCTCCCGTTTCTCACTTCTTTTCCTTTTTCAAATGTCGATTTCCCTTCTAAGAAGATTGTAACAAACCCATAACTTTGATGTCAAACTGATTAATGTCTTTTCAAATACCCCCCAAATGAGATGACGATGCATACGTGTGAAAAATATGAAAATGTGTTTATGCGATCTTTGTGTTTGAATTTTTTGTTTTGTGTGTGTGTGCGTGTGTGTGGGTGTGTGTCTGATGGGTTGGGAGGGTGGCGCGTCCACCTACATCTACAGTGCTGGTTATGAATGAGGCGTCATTACATATTGATCCGCCATGTTCTTTTTCTTTTGCACAAATCTGAATCCAGGTATATTTCAGGCCCCCAGAAATACAAAAAAGTGGCAAGAGCATTTATTACTAAATTGTTGCAATACGCTGTACAGTAATGTAGTCCGACTTTAGAAGTCGAATATGGATATGAATGCAAAGTCCAATTTATAGAATGCTTTCATGTGATCACGCTTTATTGCTCCTCAGTGTCAAAATAGAATTCGTTTGCCCTCTTGAACTCTCTAATTCTTATTCAGATGCGCTGGTGTAACGTATCAGACACTGCGGAGTCTGGATGCGTCACATTCCTTTTCCTTTTGTAATGGTTTCGGCTTTAGGCCTCTGGTAGGTGAAGTGTTTTAGCACAGGTAAAGTAAGGTTTAAATTCTTTTCATTCTACCCTTTGTTTTCTTTTTTTCCATTAGGAATATAGATAGGCAAGTTTAATGATAGCGATCATGTGATTGGTTTTGGGAGAATGCGAGTGGCCAATGTTGTTATTGGAGGCGAGGCTTGACAGTAAGGATTGAATTTAGTATTGAAAGTGGGAGACGTCATTTTTTTCGTGATTAGGGACTTAGATTTGCACGTCGACAGCTTTGACTGCAACGCGTGACGTAATTTCAAAGCACTGCGCATGCTTTACGTCGTCTCAGTCGGCGATCGAGAATGCGTCGACCTTGATTTTCCTAAATCTATTACGGTACTAGTATGCCGCGTGCGCATGCGTGTATGCTTACTTCCTGCATGCATGTATATCGTCGAGTGAAATCTAAAAGATTTCTAATCGTAGTCAACATGGGCAGTTGAGTATGTTGACACGCCTGATCAGTTGGCGTTCGTCGTGTTCTCGCCCACTCAATCTGAAAGTCCCTATTGAAGAAAAACCTGCTGTGTCGCCTTTGGGAAGGGAGTTCCTACAACATTGGAGTGCGGAAAGATTTTGGGCTTGCTGTTTGAGAGCGAGTGTTTACCCCCTTTTTATTGCTGCTTTTTGTTTCTGCTATTGAGAGCGGAACGAGCAGACGACCGTCCTTTGGACACGATCCGGGAGGCAGGCAATGGGTTCTTCAATCTGCATAATAAATGTAAGTCTTAAATTTAAGCTCGCCCTCATTTTCTTTACAATTATGACCCTGTTTTATGCCCTATAATGTAAATGGACGCCTTGAGTAATGTATATATTTGTTGCGTATAAATATTTTTTGTTAAAGTAATTCAATTGGGATTTGTGTCATGTGACAAGACACAAATATTATAAACGTCCTTTTTTGACAAACACTGAAATGTCATGCTGGAAGTCAGACATTTTGAAAGTCAGCCATATTGAATGTCAGCCATTTTGGATATTATAAATGGCAGGTAGCTTTTATAAATTTTGATGCAAACAGAAGGAATTAACTGTTTCTTTTTGTAAACATATTTTCTAAAGTCAGAAATCATTTAAAATGTTATTAGCATTCTTTACTAAGGCGGGACATGAAATACTCGAAAGATTTTTTTTCTGTTTTAAGATGTGTTAAAGCTGATTTCAAGTATTCTTATTTAATGATGTTCAACCCTATTTTAACTGTGCTATTTGTGCATGCATGTCAAGTGAAGTGTATAGAATACCATGGAAATATCATTTTTTTTGAAAAATTCACTCATTTGCATATAATAATAATATTAATATTAATAATAATAATAGCCTAATAGTCCACTCCAAATTCTATTAAACCGAAACGGAAATTCTTTTTGCCCAATTGATCGTGAGCCCGGCAGCCACTGAGCAGCGCCAGATCGACGTTGCTCTATCCCTTATTGTTTAACGCCAAACAAGGTAGCAACAGCTCCCATCTTTTAACGTCTTTTGGTATGACGCGGCCGGGGTTCGAACCCACGACCTCCCGGTTGTGAGGCGGACGCTCTACTGACTAAGCCAACACTCCGGTATATTTATTGTAATTTATGCAAATAAGGTCATAACAATCACATTTTTACCCATAAATCATATATTATTCATATTCAAGCATTCTTCTTCACTACATATATTCGTTAAACCATTTGGAATAATAATACAACAAAAATTGGAAGAGCAAGGTTATTCCTTATGTTATATGTTGTTTTGATAATTTCTTATGTATTTCATTGTTTTTTTAAACTTATATATTGTATTATTCTGGTTACTATATTTCATTTCTAACTACAATTCAACTATTTTGACCCCAAAACAAACACCTAAACTTTAAACTAGACCAAATAACCAATTTTGTATCTCTTTTTTTAGGAAAAATGATATTTCCTTATGTTTTGTACACAAATCACAAAAATGAGCGATTTTTTTGGCTGACATGCAAAGACAAAAGGTCACGTGACTTTGTAACTATACTTCACATTTTTTAAAAGAAAATTGTTTCAAAAGATGCGTAAGACTCGGAAGAAAAAGGTCATGAAAGGAAAACTTTGTATGCCGCGGTTCAGGAGCAGTCGCTAAATTACTACAGGGGGGGGGGGGTTCAAATTGACCCCTACCCCGGTTAAAATAGGGTTAAGTCAACAACGTGTGTTAATATTGGGAAAAAGTACTTACATGTAGAGGTGTCGTGGATACGTCGACGGACTGTCGATCTTAAGGTCCGCGGTTCGAGTCCCGCCGAGGCACTAATGTCATTTGGCAAGACATTGATCTACATTTTCCACACTCAACCCAGGTGATGTAAATGGGAACCTGGCAGGAATTAATTCCTTGAAAAGCTAGAGCGCCGCAATGGCTGCCTTGCTAAAGCCGGGGTATTAATCTGGGCAGCGCCAGGAGCGTCACAACGTGACGGACATGTGCGCTATATAAGAAGCTATCATTATTATTATTACATTCTAAGAACATTTTGTTAATGTTTTTTGTATCAAACTGATATGATAGGATACCATGTTTATTATTGCTTATTATTTAATTACAGCCGTTTAGGTTGTTTTTTCAACCACACTCCGATGACCCATTGTCTACGAGAGACTGATTTCTACTCTCCGCTGGTCACCTCATCACGAGCCATCGATCCATTCGATCCCGATCTCGTTCTGCAAAGATCGTCTATTAACGCAGTGGACATTTTTACGAACTCCAACGTTCGTATCGCATTACCCCTTTATTAAACGAACAATGGTCTAGTATATGGCAGTGTTAATTTAATTCGACCCTCTTAGTAGACTACGATTTGATTCAGTTTCGATTTGGCAACGTTCAATACATGTAAACTTATGTATTATTTCGTTTATTGTTTAATTAAAATTCAACCTACCAAACTGCAACTCATATTCTGATTGATTATTGTTATATGTGTGAATCGCCACTCAGTAAGCCAACTACATTCCTTGTGACACTCAAAATAGTCCAAAGATCATCTATACTAAACGGACGTGCTAATTTACATAGTGATTCAATGTGACAGGACTATACATAACTTTGTGTTTGGAGAGCACAGTAATACCATAATGAAAACAACGTGGTGGTGTGAATTACGTTTAACATGGCGCTGTTTTCAGCAGCAGCAAAAGGAGACGTCCAAAGTATACAGTCATTAATTGAATCGGAAGACGGGTCAGAGGATTCGGGATACTACTCGGATGCGTCTGGTAAGACGGCCCTTCACATTGCTTCGGAAAACGGACATTTGCAAACGGTTAAATTCCTTATCCATCATGGAGCAAAAGTGAATGTGGGCGATTATAAACGACAGACAGCAGTTCACTTATGCTCAAAGAAAGGCCATCTTCATGTGGTAGAGCTGTTAGTGAATGAAGGAGCAAGCATTGAAATTGGTGACAAAAATGGATTTACAGCTCTTCACATAGCATCATTCGAGGGTCATTTTGATATAGTCAAATACCTTGTTAGTAAAGGGGCAGAGCTGGACAGACTTGCTAGTGATTACTGGACACCTCTACACCTTGCTTTAAACGGTGGCCATATTGACATTGCAGAGTACCTTTTGACAGAAGGAGCCAACATTAACGCGTGTGGTAAAAGTGGATGTACAGCTCTACATACTGCATCAAAAACTGGAAATATTGATGGAGTGAAATTACTAACCAGGCAAGGAGCAGAGCTGGATATGACCACTGACTATGGCTGGACCGCACTAAGTTTTGCTACATCAGGGGGGCACCTTGACATTGTCAAATTTCTCATTAACGAAGGGGTAGAGGTTGACAAAGCACTCGGGAGCGGGATGACACCCTTGTGTCTTGCAACAAAAAGAGGCCATCTGGGTATTGTCGAGGTCTTACTGAACGTAGGAGCACATATTGATAACTGTAATCGAGACGGGTCATCAGCACTCCACATTGCATCGTACAACGGACACATTGAGATAGTTCATCATCTCATTAGCGAAGGGTCACATCTTGACAAATGTGACAAAACCGGAAAGACACCCTTGGCTTGTGCTTCTCAAAAAGGCCATCTTGAAGTCGTCGAGTATATCGTGAACAAAGGAGCAGGCATTGAAATTAGTGATAAGGATGGGTTTACAGCTCTTCAAGTAGCATCACGCGAGGGTCATCTTGATATTGTCAAATGCCTTGTTAGGAATGGAGCAGACCTGGAAAGACTTACTAATGATTACTGGACACCTCTGAATCTTGCTTTAGACGGGGGCCATCTTGACATTGCAGAGTACCTTTTGAAAGAAGGAGCCAATATTAACACGTGTGGTAAAGGTGGATGTACAGCACTACATACTGCGTCACAAACTGGTAATATTGATGGAGTAAAATTTCTAACCAGGCAAGGAGCAGAGCTGGATAGGACCACTGACGATGGTTGGACCGCACTTAGTTTGGCTTCATTTGGGGGACACATTGACATTGTCAAAGTTTTCGTGAACAGAGGGGTAGAGATTGACAAAGCACTCAGGAACGGCAAGACACCCTTGTGTCTTGCAACAGAAAGAGGCCATCTGAGTATTGTCGAGATCTTACTGAACGTAGGAGCAAATATTGATAAATGCAATCGAGACGGGGTTACAGCTCTTCACAAAGCGTCATTCAAGGGTCATGTTGAAATTGTCAAATATCTTGTTAAGAAAGGGGCACAGTTAAACAAATGTGACAAAAACAACAGGACACCCTTGTCTCGTGCTTGTCAAGAAGGCCATCTTGAAGTGGTCGAGTATTTCATGAACGAAGGAGCAGGCATTGAAGTTGGTAAAGATGGGTTTACAGCTCTTCACATAGCATCATTGGAGGGTCATCTTGATATTGTCAAATATCTTGTTGAGAAAGGGGCACAGCTTGACAAATGTGACAAAACCGACAGGACACCCTTGTCGTATGCTTCTCAAAAAGGCCATCTTGAGGTCGTTGAGTATATCGTGAACAGAGGAGCAGGATTTGAAATCAGTGATAAACATGGGTATACAGCTCTTCACATAGCAGCATTCGAGGGTCATCTTGATGTTGTCAAATACCTTGTTAGTAAAGGGGCGGACCTTGGGAGACTTGCTGATGATTACTGGACACCTTCACGTCTTGCTTTTCATGGCGGCCATCTCAGTATACATGCCTTTCTGTTAAAGATCGTTAAGCCATTCATTGGGTTTAAAGAGGACAACTATGACTACCTTCCTTTTGGGGGTGAAGCTTATCCTGGCTATATGCCCCCATACTCCCGAACATACGATCCATATCTTACCAGTCAACGAGACAGCTCTCGCTCCTCGAGGAAGAGCATCACAGAAGAGACAATGATTATAAGTCTCGACGAGTACAGAATCAAGGTTCCACTTTCACCAGACGATCTGAACATAGCCAAAAATATCAGAGCAGAAGCATTGACGAGCATTCCACCTGACTTAAACCTGGGAAAAGACGAAGTTATCATCTCAGTTGGGCTTAAGCTTTCCCCTCCTGGTCTTCAGTTTAAAACTCCGGTGGAAGTCACGGTCTCGCATAGCGCTATTTTCAGCAACCCAGACAAGGCGGAAATCGTGCTATACACCCGAAGGACTGGTAAGATCTTCCTTTTCTTTAATGTGTATATTCAACACTTTCAGAAAATATTTGACAAGTTTTATTTGACAACAAATTTTATTCGACACATTTTATTTGACACATTTTATTTGACACCTTTTGTTTTTTTCTACAAAAATATTATTCCAAGAAATAATTTTACTTTTTATTCGACAATAAAGGTATTCAACCAAAAAGATGTATTCAACAAAGAATCTATTCGGCGTTCCATACATATGCATACCACGAAAAAGTTATTCGTCTAAAAAAAAAGCCGTTTGACTCACCAAGAATACTTGCGATACTTTACACAACCACCTGCACCGTGCGCGCAACAGGCGTGTTTACGGACGAAGATGGCCTCTGGTCGGACTACGCCGGGCCGCGAATTTGCGATTCCCAAACCATTCAGCTATGGGAAACATTCTGAGCAACGTGATTGGTTAAAAAAGTTATAAAGACACACCCACATCGACGCGAGCCATCCATAGAGATATCTCTATGGAGCCATCTCATCATGGCGGTGCGAATGTGTCTGGGGCCAAGTCCGAGTGAACCATCAAATCTTCAAAATGATTTTCCAAATCTGCATGTAGGTCTAAGTAGATATTTAGACCCTATATATAATTATTTTATTATAAAGTCGCCATGATCAGATCCGTGTATATGACTTTTGGAATGATGTTTGCATGAATGGGCTGCACATAAACAATGGATAACAGTGGGCCTGTATGTGCCTGTAGCTTGCTCGCGTGTGAAGCATTGTACCTAACAACATAGCGTATGTGCAGTCCTGAGTGTTTTGTTGAGCCTAGTCATGCATTGTTTGAACAATGACAATAACACAAGTTACATGTAGATTTAGATGATAGATCTTTTAAGTTAGATACAAGTATGTTCTAATGAAATATAGATATCGATTGGATGATTTTTTTAATTTTACAGTAGGCCATTTCATGTAGATAGACTTCCCTCAGACATGATATCTTTCGTAAAGTGTCAAATTAGAGTCTGTGCTTGCAGACTAACATTGTGAGTGTTTGTGTGTCTGTGTCAGCTGTGAGCGAGCCCGAGCGTGCAGTAAATGACGTAATATTTATTTCTTCTCTCGACCAATCACGTTGCTCATAAAGTCTCCCATAGCTGAATGGTTTGGGAATCGCAAATTCGCCGCCGGGCAAGCACAAACCCTGGTCATTCGTAAAAGAGAGTCTGCACTATAAGACTACCATATACCATGTACTATAGCTGCTCCTGACACAACCAGTAGGTAGCTGGGCTAGGCTTCTCTCAAGGCACAATAATTTTGTTTTGAAGTGTCAAATTAGGGTCTGTGCTTGTAGACTAGGGCCGCCCCGGCATGTAGGTAGTCTAGGCATGCAGCGCAACTAGATAGCTAGATGGCTCAGGCAGGTCACCAATTTATCCTATACTTTAGTGTGTTTTATTATTTTGGGTTCCTAACTTCAGTCAACTTCAGTATTGAATATACAGACCTACTTTTGTGGGGGGGGGGGGTTGTGCACATACTGCCCTCCTATTAAAACGGATGAATATTTTTAATGTTAATTCTAGATCTATATATGATGCAGCTCAGTCAATTCATGTTCCAGTACAAACATTACAACTTGCCACCTGTCTTAATTTGATGAACTTTTTATACTGAACTCTTCTATGCTACAAGAAATGTAAGTTGTTTTCATATATACCCTTAAAGGCCCACTGCACTACTTGTAGCTACTTGCGCCCTCTATATAACAAACAATGCCTAATCGGTGACCATTGGTCCCCCATGATCCTCTTTTTCTTATGTTAACTGAGAGCTGAGTTGATGAGATAACCACCTGTCCAGTGACCTTGCAGGGTAGTCTAATCCCTCCTGTAAACTACGGCAGATAAGCTTTAATAGTTAAGACTTTCTTACAAAAACGGACACCCTTCAATTGGGTTACATGTAATGGAGTCATGTTCCACCTGCAATCTAAGATAAGGTTATTCCTGATAAGTAATCCATCATTTACAACATGCACGGATGCTCCCCCCCCCCCCCTCTATGATATTTTCTCCCTCTTCTTTCTCAATATTGGAAGGGCCTACCACCTCATCACTTGACCTTATATTTACTTTTGATAATATAATTTTGTATTATTATTGGGGGGGGGGGGAGGATATAGTCCTCGACTACCCCTTCTACATTTGCTAATATATTGCACCATATGGAGTCGTTTGTATGTATGTATGTAGTTGATTTAGTATGTTTGGCCTTTATGGAGAAATTAATTGAATTGAATTTAATTGAATTGAATTGAATTGAAGTTCAATAGCCTGCTTTCAAAAGAGTATGTATATGAATTAGTATATTACCTACTACGTTTTAAGGTTTTTTTGTAATTATTAACAGTGGGCAGGATTTGTTTAAGATGATGAGAAGAGGGAGGGCATAGTGATGTAGATTGGAATTGAATAGTTATGGGATAGTGGTGGTGGGAAGGGGGGGGGGGCGTTTTTGGAATATAACGGAGTGTACATTACCTACTTCGTTTCCACCTCCCCCCCCCCCCCCCCCAAATCCACTAGCTCTTTATCACTGCGGCTACATCAGTATACCCAAACCCTCATTTTTATCACCTTAAAACAGTAGGTAATAAACACTAATTTGTGCCCCCTTAACGCCCCCAACTAGCCTCTAACAAGAGGTCAGTGGCCCCTGCCCATCCAGGCTACATGACTTTGCCCTCCCTCTTCTCATCTTTCATCACCCTCAAACAATCCTGCCCACTGTTCATTGACTAGAGGCTATAGGCCGCGACGTGGATCTAGTCTTCGTACCGTAAACGCGCCTGTTGCGCGCACATGTACTACTGCACGATGCAGGTTGTTGTGTTAAGTATCGCATGTATTATTGGTGAGTCGAATAGCCTTTTTGAGACGAAAAACTTTTTCGTGGCATGCATATGTATGGAACGCCGAATAGCTTCTTTGTTGAATGTAGCTTCTTTGTTGAATACATCTTTTTGGTTGAATACCTTTATTGTAGAATAAACATTAAAATAATTTCTTGGCATAATATTTTTGTAGAACAAAACAAAATGATTCAAATGAAATGTTGGCGATTACATTTTTGTCGAATGAAATCTATGTCGAATAAAATTCTTGTCAAATAAAATTTGTTGTCAAATAAAATTTGTTGTCAAATATTTTCTGAAAGTCTTAAATATATACATTTGAGTGAAATATACTTTTTTGAAAGTGTCACATATATTTATTTGTTTCCCTAAAGGCGTGCCATAGGTATGGGTACCCAGCAGATTTCCATCATCATGCAATATACTATTGCGTGCATTGCATCGCGTCAGAATTTTGAACGCATCGAGATATGCGTAGATCAAGAATGCTGCACAGAGCTTGCATATTGCTGCACACGACTTGCATAGCTGCTGCACAAAAATAGCACAGCTGAACGTGATGGAAAATAATTAAAGCATGAACACTCGACTCCAATACAGGTTTGCCATTGGCTACTTTCTTAGATCCATCTTATATTAAAGATTATTACAAAAATTCCCTTGAGTTCATTTTTCGAAGGCCTTTGTGATCGTGCTCGATAAGAAAATATACATTTTGACAGTAACAGTTTCAAATCTGAATAACTGACAAACATCACAAGGGTAAACACAAATAACTCAATTCTGCATAATACTGCATCGTCAATATCGAACCTGCAGTCATACAGCTTTGTCATTACAGATCACGACATTTTTTGCCTACATCATCATCGGAAATTTTCCGGATCATCATGATCATCATAAACATCCTCACCTCACGAATCTTTCACAAAATGAGAGGGAAAGAAACCCTCGGCAGTATCAATAAACTTTATTTTTAACCTTTATTAACTTATCAAAATGACTGAATAGTTATCTTTTGAAATGCAACTTAAGATGAAATCAACAAAATAAATGTAACAAATGAACGTGGGAGTTAAATATTAACATGTTAAAGCACTGGCAAATATTGAGTTTTTAACATTGTTTGCTTTGTGAGAATATTTTGTATTATTATCCTGCATCAACAATTTGTTGGCTTTTGATTGGTTGAGAGCTCGTCACATGACCAGAAATATTTGAGCTATTTTTAGAAAGTACTATTTTGGTTTACTATTTGGGAGTTGAAAAAAAAATGTGAATTTTTTTTTGGAATTGAATCAATTTTTTTTCTTCAAATCTTAATTTAATGAAAACAAAATATTTTAAATCTTTTTAGATAAAAATTGACATTTTTGCGGTTCTAAATTTTTTTTCTCCCAAAAATATATTTTTTTTAATATTTTTTTTAAATACATTTTTGATGCAGGATATAAACAAATATCCCATGCCTTCTATTCGAGGTACTGGTTAAACTATGGGCCTCGGTGACTCCAAAAGTACCATTTGCTTCGGGGCTGCGCCCCTCAGCAAATAGTAATTGTAGTCACCTCTTGCGCATAGTTTTAACCAGAACATCTCAAGGCAGTGTATATTTGTATATTATTATTGTTTTGTTATAACTACTACTACTCCTACTACTACTTATACATTATATTATTTTTTTTTATCTAATTCAGCATCCCTAAGAAATGTTGTCAATACTTAAATTAAGATTATTCAAGCTATTACAAAGAACAACCAAAATAATAAATAACGTTTTCATTATACATGGGAGAAGCTGCACGATAAAACAAAAAAGAAAGAAGGAAGAAAATGAAATAAAAACTAGCTGCACTTGTTTTAGAACAGCATAGTCTTAAACATTTAATGTAAATAAATAAAGACTTTAGTGTTATAACAATATATTTTTCAGAATAAGTGTTTTCCCCGCTAAATATGTCAATCAGAGGCAGGGGGCTGGATAGGATTAGGAAGCCCAGGAGAGAGATGTTCTTCTTTTTATGTAGACTAGATCCAAAACTAAGTTGTAGCTGGATCACAATGCAATCTCTGTAACAGGTCCATATATCTTCCAGTGATTATTGGCAATAATCAAGCTCCGAACTGAACTTTCAAAGTGCGAGAAGTTTCGCAATGCAATGATCTTTGTTAAACTTCTCATTGTTATTGTAAATGTTCCTGTCGACTGATTAAATAACAGTTTATTCAATCAGTTAATGTTCTTTGGTCAGACAACAGAAACAGAAATGGGATAGGGGGAAATATATTTTGACAGTGCAGAGATCCCCTGACTGCCACGACAAACCCTTGACAATTTTGACAGAGATCTTCACACAAAATTATTCTTTTCTTACTTGTCTTGGTATCATATGGCCCGCTTCTAAGTTGATCTTCATCTTAGAATGCTCTACTTCATTGAGTTTTACTTGGTAAACTTCTATTAGAACAGAAATTCACTTAAAAGAAAATGTTTAAGTCTTTGTGTTTGAATAACTTATAAGTCGCAAAGTTCAAACAGCCGCCATTTATCTAGATTCTTGTGGAAAGATCGTTGGGAATTGTAGGAATAACAAATATTATATGCATGATCTAATACATAAAACAGTTTGTTAATACCCAATCACTAAAAAGCAATTGACATTTGGTTACGACGTTGCCTATGAATAAAACATGACCCTGTAACAAAGCCCCGGTATCGATCCGCAAAAAACTACAAAAACTATTTTCTTTCTTTAGCATATGAAAGTAAATCCCAGAGCGTTACAAAATTAACACGATCCTCTCTTTTTTTTGTGTGTCTTGTTGAAAGGGTCTGATACATTTTCAAGGATAGTTCCTGCTTCTGACAATGCTGCTCGGTGTGTAGTCGCAAAGAAACACCTTACTCTGTACTTAGACCATTTCTCGGAATGGTGGATTATCTCCTTAATCAAGAGATATTTCATCGGTAAACGAATCATCTGTACGCCATACGCTCCCCTGTCAACATCCAGAGGCGTCATGAACTACATCTTGCTCGTCATTAAAGACGACTTCTACGGCATGAAAGAGGTAGTTTTTGTTATTCATTAACAGTTCTGTATATTTCTGGCCAATGTTATGGATAATGATCTTTTTTTCCCTCTCATTTCATCACGAAACTTTCTAATACTACACATATCTCATAGTCAGTTTCGTATATGGTCATTCATTTAAGAGTGACTCGGTAACATTGTTGAAGGTTGATGAATTGTATAAAACGTTACTTACTATTTTCCTTCTACTGTACTAACCCAATGCAAAAAAATCCTGACAAAATTCTCAAACCACGAAGATATCTATAGTTTTCTTTAAGGGCGTCAATGGACGACACCCTCTAACAGTGATTAACAGTAAATTCTCCCAACCATTTTTGAATTTTCCCAACAGGCTATTAAAAATCTGTCAACACTTAAATGTCTGGAATGGAATGAAGAGCCATTTTATCGCTTAGTGACGATTTACATTCACCTAAAATGTAATTAAATTGTAATAATATAGTTGGGAGAATTAAGGAATCGATCAGATCAGTTTTTTCCAATTTGTACCATGAATAATGGTCCGTTTTCACTCAAATTTTCAGATTATCTTTAATTGTACATCTATAATTTAAGTCACTACCTTAGCACCACTATCTCTCATCTGAACAATGTTACCAAGTCCATTTAAGACTTTGCCCAATCGATTTGATCATTTTGCATCTAATTTCGTCAAAGATCCAATCAAGTTCGTCATCTTTGGCCGCCGACGTACAATTGCATGAATCAATTTGCAACCGATTTTGTCAAAGCATCATACAAATGTATCCCTCGTTCGTTTGAAGGTCTTGTCTATGCGACGAATTTGAATGAAATTTATTGCACAAAGACAAATTTGAACCGCATAGTGAACGAATTCACAGCAGATGCTAAAAAAGAATCACATATATAATCATTTAAACCCGATAAACAACGTCTCACATCTTGAAGTAAACAATCAGTTAGAGACTCATGAAAGATTCATCACCCATTTTCGTGCACTGGAGGTGTTCACTTGACTCTGAATCCAAGGGTTGAGGGTTTGACTGCCATACCGGTGCTAACGGTCTTTGCTTTGGCAAGACGTTAATCCATTTTTGGCAACCACGTGTAACTGAGTAAGAACCTGGCAATGTATGTAGTATATTGCAGTGCCCTCTGGAAGAACAGAATTATCTCCAATTTTCCCAATTCTTTATTTTTTCAATTATTATTATCATTATTATTATTTTTATTATCATTCTTTTAATATTGATTCACATGTTCAAACTTTTGTAGGATACCATACGAGACTACAAGGCAGCCTGTCTTGGTGAGCAGTACTGTGTATATTGGGGAAAGGGACCCCTATTTGTCAAACATCAGGAAGACGAACACGAAGTGTCAAACAAGGTAAAAATCTAAATATAAATGATTTTTTTTTACTGTTGTTTTCCCCGAAGGACTGATCCTGACAAACAATCGTCTGTAACTTATTATGCAGGTCCCAACAGGGGCGGATCCACGTAGCGATTATTCCGGCCCGCCCCCCCCCCCCCTAGCCCCAAAAACGATAAAAAAATAGGATAAAAACGTAAAGTTAACCTTTATAAAACAAAAAACAAAGGCGCCCCCCCCCCCCGCTTATTCGCCGGCCGGCTGAGTCGGCACTAAATTTTCTATTAAGATTTGGCTACCCCCTTGACGCCGTCTGGATCCTCTGCAGGCGCGGATCCACGAGGGGGGGGGGGGCTGACGGGTCAACAACAAAACAATTGTTTTAAAAAATTCTCACGAATTAGGTTAAACAAGTAAAAAAAAAAAAAGTGGTCCAACCCCCCCCCCCCCCCCCGCTTATTCACCGGCTGACTGAGTCGGCGCAAAATATTCCCCCCCCCCCCCCCCCCCCCCACTGAGCGACTTTTCGGCCGGCGCGATTATCAAATTTTCGGGAGCAAAACAAAAAAAAGTTGGGCCCCCTCCCCTAAGAAATCCTGGATCCGCGCCTGACTGCTACAGTTGACCCGAGATGGAGCTAGATGGGATTTGCGGTACCGTAGTGCATCTAGTACACCGTGGCTTTAATTAACACGTCAAGCGAATAAATGCATGAAATTACTTTGCGGGTAACTTATTAATATTATTATAATTATTATAATATTATTCTAAGAAACTCTATTATGGTATCACTTTTAGATTAGAATGAACCATGGCACAGTCCTTATCACTCGTCAGTTTCCATGTGCTGAAGGCCATAATTCGCTGACACCAGACTTGCTGGAACAAAATCATTATCGTATGTAGTTTGTACAGGTCTGCACACAACGAACCCGTAGGCCAATCGAGAAATACCCCCCTCGTCTCTCGGAACTCTCCAGGTGAGGGAAAAGTGAGATAATGTCTTTACAGTGTGGGGGAATGGGTGGAAATCGCAGTACATTACATAAGGCCTGCTGGTCATAAAACTGAAGGCCAACTCTGGTGATTGACAGCACCTCTTCTTGGGTAAACACCCGAATGGTGTTGTATTCCCCATGATAGCTAACTACTATGTGTCTTATTTCTATTTAAAAAATAAAGGAACTTGCAGAATGTGCTTTCTATGACATGACGACCAATCGGATGCCGTTTACTCTTCAGCGACGTGAAGAAATAGTGTCCGGAGTTCTCGTCACTTTCATCTTGGAGCAAAAGATCAAGAAGGATATCCAATTCCACGTATGGTACAACGGTAATGTCAAGCGCACGATTTCTTTTTGGGGAGGGGGATAGATTGAAGACTTCCACTGGCATTGCTGGCAGGGGAAGATCTTATTCTTGTTCAGTTTCAGGAATGGTTCTTTGCCTGAGCTTCAGACAAGCTGTAAAAAAAACGTCAGATTAAACACAAACATAACATTCCAAAATCATTATTTTTTTCATTTTTAGATAATATCTAATAATTTGTGTAAGAAAGACGTGAGATTATCCGAATTTTTAATACGCATTTGTATTGAAACTGGACGGAGTGCTCCCGAAAAAAATTCGTAGAATCCTACTTTCATTTCTTTTAATTTGGAAAGATTCTACTACTGCTGGTACCGGTGAATTTGGCCCCACATCTTAGGAAGTAATCTAGTTCGTTCATATTGGGCCACCTTGTATATATATAATATATATGAATTGATATAATAGGGCATATAATGTATATGTTTGCGTATAATGCTAAACAGTTCATTTAGTGTAGCAAAAGCACCATGGCAAGTGACTCCAATTTTGAATAATTATTATTTTAGGCTTTATCGCTTCTCATCACGTTGATATCATGTATTCACAATTTAGATGTTCCCCATGAGAATCCTAGTGCCCAATCAAGTCCGACTGGAACTGCATCGCCCAGAGGCAAAGCTGAACCAACTGATGTTGGACGGATAACATCGAAATGTAAGATTTAACAACAAATATTAATACTATTTTTTCCTTTTTTTTTGTTATTATTTTTTGTTTTTTCATATACAAACTTGTTGATATGCAGGGCATCGTTTCAGGAAACCGTCATAGGTACAAGTGAAAAACGAGTGTAAAAATGAACACGCATTTAATGGGATGGCGGCGAGCTTGTTACACGAAACAATTTCCTTATTGTAAAGGGACGATTTCAACGAAATCGAAAAAATAACATGATATTTGTGCTATTCTGATTTGCTTCTGATTTGATTTTCATTTATTATTGCATTATCAGCACGTCAGCTCTCCGAAGAGGTGACAAGAAGCGACCATCATCTTGAAACGATAGGTACAACATCGCCTGAGCCTGCAGACACAAAGGGTAAGGAGCAGTCCAGGAGGAATACATGTATATGTTATTTGAGCGGGGGTACGCTGGGGTGCAGGAGGTGGGGTCTTCTAGCATTCGTTTCTACATGTGCTTCTAGAACTGCTCTAGAACTGCTACTACGGCCTATATTCCTGAAATTGGCCTTTGTTTTGAATATCCTTTAATGTATTATAAATGAATTTTTATACCGTATAATTTTTACTCTGTAAATTGATCGATTTCATTTCTTCGTTGCATGTTCCATGATATTATCTCAATGATGAGGATAATTCGAGGGTCAACATGCGATAGATAACGGATCAGTCAGAGGTATTAAGAGCACAGGTCGGAGTCTGGTGTAACCATTTCATAAAAACTATTAATTTTGCGTTGCTTTATTTCAGACGGAAGTAGTCATACTGATGTTCTTACAAGTCCTAGCCCTTTGACTCCACCATCGAAAGAGTCATCGTCATGTGAACATGCCTACCAAGTCACACATGATTTGGTAACAGAGACAGGAGCAATTGGTAAGGAGCTAACAGATAAAGTCGTGTTCTCGGCTCTGTAACAGCAAAAAAGTCAATTGTATCTTACAAAAATTAATTGCCAAAACATTATTCTATATATATATGCTACACTCGATCCATGTGTAATAAGGGGGCAGGCTACCTGAAACAGTTGGAGGAACATAACCGGGGTAATATTATTTATAAGGTGATGACGTGGATCCTAAACAAATGATTGGTTGAAAGCGTACACTTGACCAGGCATTTATTTTGTCTAACGCGTAATCGCGCGTAATTTATGTAATGACCGGTCATCCAATGGTAATGACCGGTCATTATTAAAATCATGTGAGAACCTCATTTTATAAAACAAATAAAATATAATCTTATAAAACAAATAATACACATCATTTCGTTGAGGCATTTGTTCGGGCATTAGTAAAATTAGTAAAATTACCCACACTTGGTACTTTCAAAACAGTGTTAGACTATTCCAAAGGTACCTCGTGTGGGAATTCCTTCTAATGCCCTCACTGATGTGTATTATTTGTATACTATATAAAGCCCTTTAGAAGCGCATTCATTTATTGTGATATACGCTTATTTCATTTACATGCTCTTCGGAAATTTGAACGTCTAGTTGATTAACTTTGTGTTCTTTGTGTTCGTTTTGTGTTAAGCTTCAACATCATGTACTATGCACGTCCATACATTAGAGGCTTCAGCAGAGGGGACAATGGGAGTGTTAGCCCCACCAGCAACTGTGGCAAACATTGTCCAAGAATTCGTTCAAGGGCTTTCAGCAGATCGAAAGATGCACCATCGTTCTGGGAACGTCTATATCAACATCCAAGAGAATGTCATCAACAACCCCCAAGGGAATAATCCTCAAGAAAATACTGTGGCTCCTGTTGCAATTGTTTCTGTAGTACCTCCTAGGCTACAGCATGAGCTGCGTTGTCGGTTGAACAGAGAAAGCCCAGTTTTTGGTGACTGGAGGGGTCTTGCCGATCAGCTTGGACTTGAAGAATACATAAAACATCTTGAGCAGTGCAAGAATCCGACTGAAGAACTACTCGAACTTGCTGAGAGTAAAAAGAAGATTCAGAACCTTGGGGACTTGGCCAAGGCGTTCGAACGCATGAATCGTGGGGATTGCCAAGAGCTCTGCGAGAACTATGCGTTTGAGAAAACAAAGTCAGCTAATCCTCGGAAAGATCAGATGGAAGATGATGACACAGACACCAGTGATTAGGGAACAGACTTAATATGTTCCATATCACCCTTTAATTCATGGTCTATGGCTCGTTATTCAGAAAACCTATGAACATAGCACTATAATTACGGATGTTGTAATCCACCAAGTAACCGTCATTTGGTTTTAACAAACCAAATCATTAGATTAGATAATTAGCTCGAAACAAAATATAGGTATACTGTCAGGTCAGTATTCTCCTAATTCATTTATATCCTATCCAGGGTCTTAAATCATGTTTGAAAGAAAACCTAAATCTCAGTCCAATTTTCTTTTTTAAACCACTTTTTTGACAAAAGTCTAAATCCAGCGTCGGGTTTGAATATTAGAACAATTCGGGCCTATAAAATTGACCAAAAATTGGAAAGAATTGTTTGTTGGGTAAATTATTACTACCCAATATTGCATAAACCTATTATACCCATTAGTGTGTAAACGTTTACCCTCTTGTTATATGCCTCGCTGCATCAAGAAAGTATACATTGCTTGCTTTTACAGGAACGAAGAAGTGAGATTCACTCTTGGCATATTTATCGATTTTAAGAAAGCAATTTTGACACCATTAATCTTAATATACTACTAGCAAAACTCTCTAAACATGGCAATCGAGTTTAACCTTTGCATGGTTTAAGGACCTAGTAATAAATCCAGATTGTTCAATGTGGTTAAACGTTATCTATAAGATAAGATGTGGTGTTCCACAAGGATTAGTAATAGGGCCAACTCTGTGTTATATCTATATATTAATCTGCCATCAGTAACTGATTATTTCAATTTGCGGCTGTTTCCCGATGATTCTAACATAATTCATATTTTTCCAGCTCACCAGGGCGAAATTAATGTGGATGAAATAATGAACAGCACACGGGAAATAGGTTCATTGCTAACAAACTTACACTTATTTCAACAAAAACGTATTTCATGTTAAGTAGTAGGAGTAAAAAAAAAAAGTATAAATGGTAAACTGAAAATAGCTGGAGAGGAAATCCAAAAGGTTGATGTTGCCACTTATGATAGAAATCTGCCATGGAATAGTCATATTTGTTATGTAAGTCCGTGTTTCAGGATTGCGACATTTTGCTCCTTGGCGAACTTTGACATTATCCATTGTCATATAATACGTGGATAATACCACACAGGTGTGGGGAAGCAATTTAAGGTATAGCCTATTAAAAAGCATATTGTATTCACAGAAAATGGCAGTTCGTGTTTTTTTGCATTTAGAGAGTGAATAACTTATACAGCTACACTACTGTCATGTTTGATCTGTTTAATAACAGTTTGCCTCATGTGTTGATAGATTACTGTGATGTTCTAGAGTAAAGCTACTCCACAAGGCAAACAGAAGGTGAATAATAATCATTTTTACCCCAGTTTGTGGAATGATTTTGAAAATTATTTATTCCTAATAGATTTAGATAATAGTATACATAGACAGTAGGTCCCCTACTTTATAAGCATAGAAGAAAACACATGCTTTAGCAGTCACGTAAAACAAACATTTGCAAACCATTATTCAGTAAAATCTGAGAATGTATATTATTATCTATATCTATTAAGAATAAATCATTGTCAAAATCATTCCATAAACTGGGGTAACATAAAATATTCTACCTTTATGACCAGCAGTGTAAATGTTTGATCTGTTTCATAACAGTTCGCCTCATATGTTGATAGATTACTGTGATATTCTAGAGTAAAGCTACTCCACAAGGCAAACAGAAGGTGAATAATTACGTCTGACAAAATTTAGAACGACACAAGGTCGATTGTCATTATCTCTTCTTGTTTAATAGTTACTTGATTACCTGTTAATGTCAGATTCTCTTACAACACATTTGTTGAACATATCATGAATCAAAAATCCATGCAAATAGTCTGTATAATGTACAAAAATTATGTTTCATATTATCAGTTTGTATCTTGTAAGACGTTGTTAAATATTTTCATAGTATTGATTGTAATGGTAATTGATTTCTTTGTTTGTTTGGTTGTTTTGTTTTTTGAAGGTTACTTGTACAAAATATATTGTTAAGTTGCAAGGTCGACAAGCACATATGCTATTATCCGGCCCATTTTAACAACCCGAGTATATTCTCTCTTTGTCCATATAAATATCATTGTATGAAATGAATGGTACTTATTTGCTGTTAGTAAATAAAACAATCAAATGCAAAAAATGTAATAAAATTCTAAACGTCCACACGGTTGTAACTATAAAGGTGATGTACATGTAATATGAATCTTGTAGGAGATGAATTCCATATAAGTATGAAATGTGACAAGTATAAAGATTTACGAGTAGATTTTTATAGAAAAAATTAGTAATCTGGAAGAAAATTGTAATAATTTGGTAGTCAAGAAAAATTCATATTTATAATGAGATTATACAATGAAGTTGTAATAGATAGTTTTTCTTTGTTCACCAAAAACATAATTGCAATGAGGGGTTATTTTTAGATGCTATATGTTATAACAAATTAGAAATGTACAATCTTATGATTTTGGTTTAGTTCTGCAGTAGGTCGCAGTTATGTATAAGTACTATTACGTCATTTATTTTAGGCATTCCATGTACCTCATTTACCTATTTTGTATTGCATGAGTTATAATTTATTTAGAAAAGTGCTGTATTATGTTTTATATATCTAAATCGCCGGGTGTTTTATGGTACATTATATTACTATATGCATTATGTCATGTTATTACTAAAAGAAAAAAGAGTGTTTCTGCTGGATATAATTTTCCTTCTGTTTTGCTATAAACACTGCATTGTAAATTGATTTATACGGTATATATGTTTACAGAATATTGATATGTTACATCACATTGTAAATTGACTTATATGATGTATATGTTGCCAAACAGAATATTGATTGTTATACATTACATTGTAAAGTGATTATATGTTTATAAACAGAATATTGATGTACATCAATGAAGTTTAATAAATACAATACAATACCAAAAAATACATGTACACTGTTGGTCATAAAGGGGGAATCATATTTAACCCAGTTTGTGGAATGATTTTGAAAATTATTTATTCCTAATAGATTTAGATAATAGTATACATAGACAGTAGGTCCCCTACTTTATAAGCATAGAAGAAAACACATGCTTTAGCAGTCACGTAAAACAAACACTTGCAAACCATTATTCAGTAAAACCTTAGAATGTATATTATTATCTATATCTATTAAGAATAAACCATTGTCAAAATCATTCCATAAACTGGGGTAACATAAAATATTCTACCTTTATGACCAGCAGTGTAAATGTTTGATCTGTTTCATAACAGTTTGCCTCATATGTTGATAGATTACTGTGATATTCTAGAGTAAAGCTACTCCACAAGGCAAACAGAAGGTGAATAATTACGTCTGACAAAATTTAGAACGACACAAGGTCGATTGTCATTATCTCTTCTTGTTTAATAGTTACTTGATTACCTGTTAATGTCAGATTCTGTTACAACACATTTGTTGAACATATCATAAATCACTGAAAAATCCATGCAAATACTCAGTATAATGTACAAAAATTATGTTTCATATTATCAGTTTGTATCTTGTAAGAAGTTGTTAAATATTTTCATAGTATTGATTGTAATGGTAATTGATTTCTTTATTTGTTTGGTTGTTTTGTTTTTTGAAGGTTACTTGTACAAAATATATTGTTAAGTTGCAAGGTCGACAAGCACATATGCTATTATCCGGCCCATTTTAACAACCCGAGTATATTCTCTCTTTGTCCATATAAATATCATTGTATGAAATGAATGGTACTTATTTGCTGTTGGTAAATAAAACAATCAAATGCAAAAAATGTAATAAAATTCTAAACATCCACACGGTTGTAACTATAAAGGTGATGTACATGTAATATGAATCTTGTAGGAGATGAATTCCATATAAGTATGAAATGTGACAAGTATAAAGATTTACGAGTAGATTTTTATAGAAAAAATTAGTAATCTGGAAGAAAATTGTAATAATTTGGTAGTCAAGAAAAATTCATATTTATAATGAGATTATACAATGAAGTTGTAATAGATAGTTTTTCTTTGTTCACCAAAAACATAATTGCAATGAGGGGTAATTTTTAGATGCTATATGTTATAACAAAGTAGAAATGTACAATCTTATGATTTTGGTTTAGTTCTGCAGTAGGTCGCAGTTATGTATAAGTACTATTACGTCATTTATTTTAGGCATTCCATGTACCTCATTTACCTATTTTGTATTGCATGAGTTTATAATTTATTTAGAAAAGTGCTGTATTATGTTTTATATATCTAAATCGCCGGGTGTTTTATGGTACATTATATTACTATATGCATTATGTCATGTTATTACTAAAAGAAAAAAGAGTGTTTCTGCTGGATATAATTTTCCTTCTGTTTTGCTATAAACACTGCATTGTAAATTGATTTATACGGTATATATGTTTACAGAATATTGATATGTTACATTACATTGTAAATTGACTTATATGATGTATATGTTCCCAAACAGAATATTGATTGTTATACATTACATTGTAAAGTGATTATATGTTTATAAACAGAATATTGATGTACATCAATGAAGTTTAATAAATACAATACAATACCAAAAAATACATGTAAACTGTTGGTCATAAAGGGGGAATCATATTTACCCCAGTTTGTGGAATGATTTTGAAAATTATTTATTCCTAATAGATTTAGATAATAGTATACATAGACAGTAGGTCCCCTACTTTATAAGCATAGAAGAAAACACATGCTTTAGCAGTCACGTAAAACAAACACTTGCAAACCATTATTCAGTAAAATCTGAGAATGTATATTATTATCTATATCTATTAAGAATAAACCATTGTCAAAATCATTCCATAAACTGGGGTAACATAAAATATTATACCTTTATGACCAGCAGTGTAAATGTTTGATCTGTTTAATAACAGTTCGTTTCATATGTTAATAGATTACTGTGATATTCTAGAGTAAAGCTACTCCACAAGGCAAACAGAAGGTGAATAATTACGTCTGACAAAATTTAGAACGACACAAGGTCGATTGTCATTATCTCTTCTTGTTTAATAGTTACTTGATTACCTGTTAATGTCAGATTCTCTTACAACACATTTGTTGAACATATCATAAATCAAAAATCCATGCAAATAGTCTGTATAATGTACAAAAATTATGTTTCATATTATCAGTTTGTATCTTGTAAGATGTTGTTAAATATTTTCATAGTATTGATTGTAATGGTAATTGATTTCTTTGTTTGCTTGGCTGTTTTGTTTTTTGAAGGTTACTTGTACAAAATATATTGTTAAGTTGCAAGGTCGACAAGCACATATGCTATTATCCGGCCAATTTTAACAACCCGAGTATATTTTCTCTTTGTCCATATAAATATCATTGTATGAAATGAATGGTACTTATTTGCTGTTGGTAAATAAAACAATCAAATGCAACAAATGTAATAAAATTCTAAACATCCACACGGTTGTAACTATAAAGGTGA